ACACACACACACACGCACGCACGCACGCACGCACACACACACACACACACACACACACATCTCGTCATCACCTGCCCGCTGCTGCCGTCTCATTACGGCTCCGTGAACAATAACGCGTGTTGTGCGCGCGCTGACTCACGCAGGGTCGTCTGCGATGTATTGGTGCGCATGCGCAGTGACGTTAGATCGCCTGACCTCGCGTGTCGCGTGTAGACGCTACGGCTTATGCGGCGACCGCCAAGCTTCCATACATATATACGTGCGCCCTTATTCAACAACGACCAAGAAACGCGGGTATCTCCCTCGGGGTCTTCTTCTAGTTTACTGGTGCAGCAGCAGCAGCAGCAGCAGCGGCGACAACACCAGCAGCAGCAGCAGCAGCAGCGGCGACAACACCAGCAGCAGCAGCAGCAGCGGCGACAACACCAGCAGCAGCAGCGCACGCGCGGGGTTTAAGTCGCTATTATTGTGGGCGGTGTTGTTTTTTATGCAGATCGATGTTTGAAACGGATTGCGGTGGCTTAACGCGCACGTTTAGCGGAGAATTAGTTCACTGGAGCATGCGGGTAGCCGAGTGGCGATATCAGGCGCACACATCTGTCGACTTCTGTGTAAAATTAAAGGGGAAGTGACAGCGGGTGAACATATAGAGACTGGAGTACCCGCACTTGCGTTTACGCATCAGTAGCATTGCGCGTGTACGCGCGCGTGCCCACGTATTCTACGCGCGCCTGTAGGTGGAGGAATGGTGGGTGGTTGTTTGTGCGTCCGTGCATGCGTGTGCGTGTGCGTATGTGTGCGTGCGCATATGTGTTCATGGGTGCACGCGTGTGCAGGTGCGTATATGTGCGTGAGTGCGCATGCGAGCGTACGTGCGTGCGTTCATGCATTCCAAAGCGCTCGGCCACAACCTTTGCCTTGCCCCGGCCTTGCCGCCGCGCATGCGCATACCTGTCTCGATGCCCGCGCATGCGCATACCTGTCTCGATGCCCTCGTACACGAAGCCGCATTCGTCGTTGCGGGCTCGCTCCGGCGACTCGCAGACGCCATCGTGCGGTCCGCTAGGTGTCCACACGGTCGCCGTCGGACAGCGGCGAGCTATCGGCCAGCCGTGGTCGCACAGGAAGTAGATCTGGCAGTCGCGCGGGTCGCTGGCGTAGGTGGCGTTGCCGATGTTAGGGTCGCAAGCGTCCTGCGCCGTGATGGGCACCAAGTCGAGGAGAGAACGTTTGTCTCTGCTAGCCGATGCTAGCCCTGTAAGGCAACAATACACACACAATACAATACACATACGATACAATACAATATACATACGATACAATATAATATACATACGATACAATACAATACAATACAATGCAATACATACAATAAACGCGGGGCGTGTGGTGGGAGCGTTGGGATCTCATAGGGCTGGGTAATGCATTAAGCTTGCTTACACTTGAACATGTGGGGTTATAGATGCATCATTGCTTGTATGTGCAACGCAGGGAGCTCGCACACGCACACACACACACACACACACACACACACACACACACACACACACACACACACACACACACACACACACACACGCGCGCGCGCGCGCGCACGGCCCGTTCGACAGCGCGTACCTGCAGGTAGGGCGTGCGCATTCCCTTCACGTCCCTCACGTTCACTTTAGCCAGGTTTCTCAGGATCGTTCTCTCATCTGCCATCTCTTCCGTCCAGTCCCGCAAGGTGGCGTTCGCCCACCAATCGGACGGCAGACGCTTGCTGATGGAGTGGGCGGCTGCAGAAGCAATGTTATGTGAGCGCAGGAATTCACGTAGTCACGATCTCATAGCGCAGTAGAAACAGCTGCTGACCGCGAAAAATTCTATGAACGACGAGAATTTGAAAGAATGAGGGAGGAAGAAATCCGTACCGTAACCCACACAATAATGTGGCACCGCTGTAGCAGGGTAATAACAGCTAGTACTCTAACGGAAAAGCTGCCGCGGTTGATGTATCTGTTGGCTGGCTGTACGTGTTTTTATTAGCGGCTAAACGTACCGGTGGAATTTTAGCGAACGGCCAACATAATAACGCCGAATATTGACGAAAGTCCAGAGAAGCGGAGAACAACGCTAGGTGGCGTGGGCGTGTGACGAGACGATGTAAGGCGGGATAGTGAAATGTGCGCATTTTTTTGTGCGCACTCTCACTCACTCACTCACACTCTCACTCACTCACTCACTCACTCGCTCGCTCGCTCGCTCGGTCGCTCACACGCTCACACGCTCGCTCACTCACTCACTCACTCACTCACTCATTCACCCCGCTCACGCGCTCACTCACTTATTCACTCACTCACTCGCTCACTCACTCACTCACTCACACACTCACTCACGCACTCACTCACTCACGCACTCACTCGCTCACTCACTCACCTATTTCATGTCCCTCGTGGTAGAGCGACTGAACGACGGCGTAGTCGGTGTAGTCGTGCGAGACGAAGAAGGTTCCTCGGATCGGACAGCCGTTAGGGTTGACCCTCGGCTCCCGCCTCCGCTGCGCATTCACCTTCCTGTAGTCAAGAGTAAGATAATAACCCAAGAGTTAGCCAAGAAAATACACATTTTCTCATCAAATTTTGCTACCAATAAAGAAGCAAGTGTATACGTTCCTCAGCTTATTATGACCACTAATCACTTACCTTCGTGATACTGATATTCGTTTACATGTATTTGCTAGCGTATTGCTGTAAATTGTAATCTTGCACGAGTTGAATTCGCAAAATCTTCCGGTAAACGTGTAACGTACGTGTCGATAACAATTGCTGTAGTGCAAACACACACAGAAATCATCATATCATCGCTCCTTAGTGATCACCACGTCACACTCATCAGATCGCTAGCGATAACGGTAGTTGAATTTACACTGGTATTGTTATCGGCTTTAATAATTGCTTAATAGTTGCGTTAGTGATTTTAATTATGTGAAGTAATAGATCTGCATCATCAGCTACATCAGCATCAGCGTCAACAACATCTGTGTTAATTGCATCAGCATCAACAACGTCAGAATCAGCGACAGCAACGTCAGCGTCAGCAACAGCAACAGCAGCATAATTAACAGCTTGACGTGATGCGGCCATGATGCCGAGGCGCGCCGAGGATTGACACTTTGTGTCTTCCAATCACAGCCTACGCCGCACCAGTTTATTTTATATTTATAAAAATGACCCATTGGACCACCAAATCGCCGATCTCAGAAACTAGGGCATTCTGCTATGTTAGAACGGTTTCCTACGATAGAGTTACCACGTTAAATATACGTTATCCACGCTGTTTAGCGCACTGCGCTACGTACTTCTGTTGCATTTTCGCATCTCTGTAATCATAATAAGCCCCGCCTTCTTCGTTGATGGACATGAATGGGACGTCACCGACGTGACCAGTTACTGTACCTACTGTCTTTCGCCAGCCTGTTTACGTTTAGTAAATAATGAAATGCCCGGCCGATGCATTTCGCATCGAAGTGCAAAATGTTTGGCATTTTCACTCGCTGTCGGAAATGAACGAGTGCGTCATTCATAATATATATGAACATTGAAGTTTTTCTTCAAATTAAATAATTCCGAAAATTCCTAACCGCGCTACTCGATTGTTTTAGCTCATAGCGATCTATAAATAAACTATTACTAGATATTTACTATTTATAGATCTCTATGTTTAGCCAATGAACGTAGCTGTGTGTGTGACGTCTTGCCCGCGCGCCTTATGCTTGGCTTAGCAAGCCTCGAAATGGATATCGGAGGCAGGCACCTCGCAACACGCGTGTTTGTTTACATATAGCTTTGTGACGTACGGTGTTCGGGAGTTCTGCGATGATAACCTCGTAATTTCTCAGCATTTCTTAAGGTGCATAGAACATTTTACCAATTTAGTGGTGTCAGTTAGTCACGGATATGTCACAGTAATTACTAACCGTATATGTTTCACATACGTTCACCTATTTTGCACACAGGCGGTCGATCATTGTGAAAAATGGTGTGAATATTTATTTTTATTGAGACGTTCCAAGTGCCTGTGCTTTCAACAGTCTTGTACGTCAATGCACGTGCGTCAAGAGCCACAAACTCAACACAATTTCATCTCTGTTATTGTTCATCTCTGAGGTGGTGCATGTAAGAGGGAGACATTTTCTTTGGGGTCCGAAAAACACAATTCCACTTGACAATTTTATGGGCCATTTCAATTGGAAGCTCTGCATAATGGACCCCACAAGCCCTTTGACGGGCTAGTCAAGAAATTCAAAGGTCTGTATATTGCTCTTATTTAGCCGCCGATAGTTCTTATTTAGAACAAAGTCTTCATTGTTATCTTCTAAAACTACAGACCATTCGCTGACCGTTGTGGAGACGTGCGCCGGGCCTCGAATTTGGCGCACGTCTCCACTGCGGACAGCGCTTCATACTTGAACATCCCCGCGGTCGCGTGCGCATATCCCGCGAACTGCGCGTCTCATCCGCGCGCAGCGCTCAGGATCAACAGCAAAGCTGTGCCACGCAATCTTGTATTATGTCTCTTTGGATTTCTCACTAACTAACAATGTTTTTTAGTAAACATCTTACATTCATACTACATTTTATCATCCTCGAAGTTCGTCGTTCGTGGTTGTTAAGGTTACCCAAACCACTCTATAAATAACTATAGAACAGCAATGCCCCCCCCCGCTTCCCTGATCGCAATTTACCAACTGCCCTCCCGCCTGAGAGGTTGCGCTGACGAAGGTCAAGAAAACTCAGTGCATGACTGCGACTTACTTGAATATCTGCTGGTAGAGATGGTTGTACTCGCTAAGCCGTATTCCGCCCTCGAACGAGATGATGACCATTTGCGGAGTCTCGCTAGGAAGGAGCCCGCCAGGGATGTCCGTACCCGAGCAGCGGCAGTTTGGCAGACGCAGCGGTTAGGATCACACATCTCAGCTGCGAATGCAACGTGGACATAACAAATATATATATAATATATAAAATATATATTATAGATATGTTTATTATTTATATATTATATATATATATATATATATATATATGTTATAATATTGACATCTTATTCAATTTTTACATGTATATAATTTCCTATATATAAGCATACAGAGAGGTCGACATCTTGCATTCCGGGGTTGGGGTTACGCTAGCGTAACATAGCGTTAGATGAATTAGGACTGAAAAGCACACACACACAACACACAGACACACAACACACACACACACACACACACACACACACACACACACACACCGGCTACTCACCGCAATCTCTCTCGTCCGACCCATCGCGCATTGAGCAAAACCATCGCACGCAGCGCCCCCTGGTAGACAAGTGCCATCGTCGCAGAGCAGTGTGAGGCAGTTATCTGAAATGACAAAGTGATGCACTATAGGATCGTCGTATCGTCTATATATAGGAGCTAGGTGCATGAATTTGCGAGTCTGATGCGGTGCTTGCTAGCAGCAACGCTCCAACTCTTCCTCCTACATTTCAGCTGGATTTTCAATTAGCAGGCCAGTACTGCGGGGAAAATTACGCCTGCGGTCAACTGCCTCCCCCACAGAATGAGAAAGGGAGAAAGAGAGAGACAGGAGGGAAGCGCGTGCAAGGGAGAAAGATATATTCATATATATATATATATATATATATATATATATATATTCATAATATATAAGCAGGAGTTAAAATGACAAACAATGACAAATATGTGAATATGACAAATATGACAAATATGAAAATAATGACAAACAACTTTTAATACAATTTGTCATTATTAACTCCTGATATAATATATATATATATATATATTATATATATATATATATATATTATATATATATATTCATATATATATATGATATATATATATTCATATATATATATACATATATTGATAGAGTAGGAGAGAGAAATAGATGGATAAATATATAGATAGAGTGAGAGAGAGAAAGAGCGAGAGACATGCAGAGAGAGATATAGAGAGGGGGAGAGACGGCTGTGACCTGAAGACCATAAACAGTGAAAAGCCCCGCAGCACGTTACTTTCATCGCAATCGCTAATATAGACACGTACGCATGCACGCCTATCTGCCTAGCTGCTACAATGGAGCCGCTTCCTGTTCTAGTAAAACCTGATCTTCGCCCTCTCACTACGCTGCGGGCGCTGTGTCATCACGCCGCCCAGTCGTAACAAATCTTATAAGTTATATAAGCCATAATATAACCCATATATATATCCCGCGTGCGTTACTGCTGCACCACACGCGCGCGCGCACACACACACACACACACCACGCACACGCACACGCACACGCACACGCGCACGCGCATCGCACACGCACACGCGCGACGCGCACACGCACACGGCGCACGCGACACGCAAGCGCGATCACACACACACACACACACACACACACACACACACACACACACACACACCCGCGCGCGCCGCACGCACGCGCGCCGCGCGGCGCGCGTATTCCTCGCAGCAGACGAACCTACGCTCCGAGGCTCGAGCGCATGCGCTGTGTGGAGGCGTGACGTGGCGCGCTGTAATCGCACACACAGCAGGTCGCGTGGGATCATGACCCACGCTTACGACTAACGCGTGAGCCGTCGACGAAACTGTTGCTTTTATGTGAAGATAAGCGTTTAACCCAGTTAGACGACGTCTCCTTTCACCCGGTTTCCTTTTTTCGCGTGATGCGCGAACTGGCGCACGGAGTGCAATTATGGGATAACCCGCCAGCAGCAGAAAACGAAACACAAAGATATAGTGCCAGTTGTGTTGTATCGATTTCTATGTGTTGCCCCCGTGATCCCATATAGAGAACGTTGGGTTGTGCTATTCTACACGGTGACCCGATAGTGAACGTTATATACGCCTTACTATTGTTGCCTGCATGATACCGTATAATGAAGGTTATGCTATCTGGGATTCTGTGTTGTCCTCGTGGTCTTGGTTAGTGAAGGCTGTACTACATGTCTTTCAGTGTTGCTCCCCGCGTTGACGCTGTTATATTGCCTTTCTGTATATTATCCCATTGAGACTATATAGTGAACTTTGTCTTGCTGCCATTCGATATGTGGCCACCGTGATACTATGAAGTGCGCGTTGTGATATGCCTTTTTTATTTCACCCGCGACCATTACGAAACAATTGTATGTCGCACTGTTTCGCCGATGTAGTTTCGCATGTGTTCGTAACTCGCGTCAGCCACGATATGTTCTACGCTTGCGTGCAGCACATGAACTTAGTTTAATATTATGCTTAGATACATTAGTGATATTAACGGGTCACTTGATCTATTATGGCGAAAGGCGCTGCGACACGCCGCGCGACAGTGCATTATAGCATTGTGTGTGTTCGCGTAATGACGTGGTTAGAGCGGAATTTATTGCGTGTTTGAACAACTTTATTGCGTTTAATTTAATCTTTCATTTCTCGTTAACCATCCAGCCATAACCACCGCGTATTCGTTTACGCTCTGACTCCATCGTCTCCAAACCGGTTACTCTGTGCTGCCTCCCCAAGCCCCAGAAAACTTTCGCAAAAGCTCGTGGGTGTAACTGCCAACAGTGTATGTGTCGTGACGTAACATCACTACATACCGTTACGATTGTGACGTCGTGGCGGCAGTCTCATATCGCCGTTGGCGCCTGTGAAACTTTCGCAACAGCCTCGAAGTGTATACGCATCGCATTTTGTTTTTAATCTTACGTCATTGTGGCCTTCGCTTGACGTCTTGCCGCGTGTTTGTTTATGCGTGCGTAAAGAACCGGTGACCTGGTGACCTGGTGACTGATGTGTAACTGTGCGCTCCGCTGCCGCGGTCACATGCAATAAGCATCTATAGACGCAGAGAGCGATAAAGCAGCGCCACGACAACGCGATGTTAATTGGATCTCTCTCTCACTGGCGCGACATCTCAGCTGCCTTCTTAGACCACGATATATATATATGTGGGACATAAAGAAAGATTGAATAAACTGGTGCATGTTTATTTTGTTATAACTTACTTGGAAGTCCGTATGATTAAATAAACATCAGTTTATAGAATCTTTCTTCATGTTCTAAATCTTTGTACTGATGACATAGCAGTTTTTATACGCCATTTCCTTTATTCTACTTCTACTCTCGCCCCCCCTCTCCTTCTCTCGCTCTGTGTATATATATATATATATATCAACTGTAGTCTAAATTATGGTAACCCAGTTTTACAAGTATTTAGGGTGGAATGATTATGACTCCTTTTGGCCGGAATTCACTTTCAGGCGTGAAATGATGATGATACAATCAGTAGGTGCTTTGGACGTCGGCTGTTTATTTTTTTTCCAGCGGCACCCTACCTTCTTCTCATCCTCCTCTAACTCGGCACCACGGCGATAACCAATGGTGCATGGAGAAAGGAGCAGAAGCACGGTTAACTAAGGACGTGGCGTTGGGTCAGCGCAGTCAAGATTCTGACGAGAATCTAGTTCACTGACACCAACCCTTGCCGACCCACACATCAACACACTCACACACACACCGCCACACACACGCACGCCACGGCACACACGCCGCACCGCATAAACCCCCCCACACCCAAACACACACACATCAACACACCGAACAACACGCACACGCACACACGCACGCATCGCATACACACAACAAACACACACACACCACACACACACACAACAGAACACACACACACACCACACACACAGCACACACATCAGCACACCAGCACGCACCACCACGCTACACACACACACGCACACACACAGCACACGCCACACGCACACCGCGCACATCGCGCGCACACACACACACACACGCACGCACGCACGCACGCACGCACGCACGCATCACCACACACACCACAGCACGCACGCACACACACACCACACACACACACATCTCGTCATCACCTGCCCGCTGCTGCCGTCTCATTACGGCTCCGTGGAACAATAACGCGTGTTGTGCGCGCGCTGACTCACGCAGGGTCGGCCTGCGATGTATTGGTCAGCGCCATGCGCAGTGACGTTAGATCGCCTGACCTCGCCGTTGTCGCCGTGTAGACGCTACGGCTTATGCGGCGACCGCCAAGCTTCCATACATATATACGTGCGCCCTTATTCAACAACGACCAGAAACGCGGGTATCTCCCTCGGGGTCTTCTTCTAGTTTACTGCGCTGCAGCCAGCAGCAGCAGCAGCAGCGGCCGACAACACCAGCAGCAGCAGCCAGCAGCGCGAACACCACGCAGCGCGCACGGGTTTAAGTCGCTATCTATTGTGGGCGGTGTTGTTTTTTATGCCAGATCGCATGTTTGAAACGGATTGCGGTGGCTTAAACGCGCCACGTTTAGCGGAGAATTAGTTCACTGGAGCATGCGGGTAGCCGAGTGGCGATATCAGGCGCCACACATCTGTCGACTTCTGTGTAAAATTAAAGGGGAAGTGACAGCGGCGCGTGAACATATTAGAGACTGGAGTACCCGCCACTTGCGTTTACGCATCAGTAGCATTGCGCGTGTACGCGCGCGTACGCCCACGTATTCTACGCGCGCCTGTAGGTGGAGGAATGGCTGTGGGTGGTTGTTTGTGTCGTGCATGCGTTGTGCCGTGTGCGTTATGTGCTGCGTGCGCATATGTGTTCATGGCTGTGCACGCGTGTGCAGCGTGCGTATATGTGCGTGCAGTGCGCATGCGAGCGTACGTGCGTGCGTTCATGCATTCCAAAGCGCTCGGCCACAACCTTTGCCTTGCCCGCCCTTGCCGCCGCGCATGCGCATACCTGTCTCGATGCCCGCGCATGCGCATACCGTGTCTCGATGCCCTCGTACACGAACGCCGCATTCGTCGTTGCGGGGCTCGCTCGGCGACTCGCAGACGCCATCGTGCGGTCCGCTAGGTGTCCACACGGTCGCCGTCGGACAGCGGCGAGCTATCGGGCCAGCCGTGGTCGCGCACAGGAAGTAGATCTGGCAGTCGCGCGGGTCGCTGGCGTAGGTGGCGTTGCCGATGTTAGGGTCGCAAGCGTCCTGCGCCGTGATGGGCACCAAGTCGAGGAGAGAACGTTTTCTCTGCGTAGCCATGCTAGCCCTGTAAGGCAACAATAACACACACATACAATAACACAACGATACAATACAATATAACATACGATACAATATTAGACGTATAGCATACGCATCAGAATACGATACGAATACACATGCGCAACTACATACAAGTAAACCGGGGGCGTGGGTTGGGTGAGGAGCCGTTGGGGAGTCTCATAGGGGCCTGTGAGGGGCCGTAACTGCCATGTCAAGCTCTGCTTACACGTTGACGACATGTGGCGGTTTATAGATGC